CACATCCAAAGAAAGCACTATGGAGTTTGAATGCAGATCGAAGCATGCTCTTTGCTGTTTTTTTTCTTCTGTTGTGTTTTGTTTTCTCTTTCTGGTGGTTCCTCCTATTGGTTTTAATTCTTCCTTACAACATCACTAATGTGAAAATATGTCTAATAGGAATATATATGTCTAGCCTATATCAGATTGCGTGCTGTCGTGGGGAGGGAAAGGGAGAAAAATTTTAAACTCAAAAGCTTATGGAAGTGATCGTAAATAATTCAAAATAAATTAATTAAAATTTTTTTTAAAAAAGGAAGTGTGGAGGGATTGCTATATGCTCTGGTGGAGGGAATTCCAACAGCAGAAAGATAGGAAATGCATGTAAATATCCAAGTATTTGAGGTTTCCAAGGGCTTTCTGGACAGTATTCCTGCGTATGGGTAATCCAAGTATCATTCATACCCATTTTACAGATGAGGCAACTGAGATACATAGAGCAGCAGTGATTTGCCCAGTGTCAGAATCAGAACTTGAGTTCGAGTCATCTGCCTTCTTAACCTCTATATTATACTGCCTCAGTTCAACTCTCTAGATCTATTTCCTCCTCCATAGAACAGGGAAGCTGAACCAAATGATCTTTGAGATCCCTTTTAACATTATGTGTTTTCATGATTTAATGCCACAGCTGGGAAGTCTCAAATCCACGGATGTAGGTCAGAGTGCAGTCATCACTCTTTTTACCTTGTGGCTACAGAGCTTAGTGTCCTCAGATGGCAGTAGGGCTTTATGGAGGAAAGACTTCAAGTCATCTTGCTTTTAATTGCCGGTTCCAAGAAAGCACTTTGCCCCTCTGTGAAACGCCATCTACCCATGCACCCTGAAACCTTAGTAATTTGTTGTAGGAACTCAGAAAACTGGAAACTTGACTGAGTTCTCTCTCTCTACTGCACCACTTTCTTTCCCCTTTATCTCCTTCAATTCTACCATCATATAAGTGGCAAACATCTTCACATCTTTATTTGCCTCTTAATAACACCCATCTGCTTTCTGAAAAGTGTTCAATACCCCTGTACTTAAATTCTCCCCTAGGCAGAATCTGACAGATGAATTCTCAATCCCAAACTGTGTTGATTTGACTTATTTTTAAATAGCACTGAACATTCCATAAAGCTAAAATAGGAGCCAATTCCCAAGAGTGGACTTACTGATCATAGGGAAGGGCAAGAGACTGGCAAGTTGACTGAGCACCTGGGGCAACGGTTCCAAAACAGTTGAACTAATGAGGGAGTGACTTACACAAGCAGCTCTGTGCCAGCTGCTGGCCTCATTCGGAGGCATTCCCAAATACCAGAGCCCATCATTGCCATGTATTGCCACTTCAGCTAGAGTAGACTGAGGAGCTGCACTCACCCCATGCTCTCAGCTGAACCCTCAGAGGAAAAATTAGTCCATACCCCAATGACAGGGAACATGACTTGACCATCACAGATCATATCCAGCTCCTTTCACAGAGAAAGGAGTGGAAAAAAACATACAAGATAATAAGAATAGCTCATCTTCAACTAGCACCTTACAATATGCAGAAAGATTGACTTACATTATCCTATATTATCCTCATACCAACTCTATGTGAGGTATGTAAGTAATAGGTAAATTATTATCCTCATTTTACAGATAAAGAAACTAAGGCTGAGGGGGTTAAGTGGCTTTCCCAAAGTCACACTATAGCAAGTAATAGGGTACAAACCCTGGCTTCAAAGCCAGGATTCTTTCTACTACACTGTCTCTCACTCCACCATTGTGTTCTGCCTTCTAAAGAAATGGAAACTGAAAATTCTCTTCAGGAGAGAATTTGTCCTCCTCAAAGGGAGTCATTGTTCCCTATGTTTTCTCCTGGAGTGGGAGCCCAATCCCAATATAAACTGTTCTTTACATTTCACATACTTATTTTTAGATATTTCGCACATTCTCACACTATTACACGTTGTGTTTCCTAGTAGAACATAGGATCCTTGAGGACAGGGACTGTTTCATTTTTGTCTTTGTATCCTCAGTGCCTAGCATCATGCCTGAAAATGTAATTAAGAGCTTAATAAATATTTGTTGCTTAATTGCTTGTACTGGAATTATAACTCAGTAAATCATTAAGATTCAAGGTCTTTTTCCAGAAAGAAGCTGCGGTGAATATGATTCCACATTCCCCCCTGCCTAGAACTAACACTTTCTCTCTCTCTCTCTCTCTCTCTCTCTCTCTCTCTCTCTCTCTCTCTCTCTCTCTCTCTCTCTCTCTCTCTCTCTTTCCCTTTCTCTCCCTCTCTCTTTCTCTCCCTCTCTCTCTCTCTCTCCCTCTCTCTCTCTCTCTCCCTCTCCTCATCTGCACTTCCTGCGTCTCTAACTTCCTTCAGGTCTCAGCTAAAGTCCTATCTTCTACAGGAAGCCTTTCCTGATCCCTCTTCATTCTAGTGCCTTCTCTGTGTTGATCTTCAATTTACACTGTATATATCTTGTTTTTATAGTTTTTTGCATATAGTCTCCCCATTAGACTATGAGCTTCTTAAAAGTAGGAATTGTTTTTTGTAATTCTTTGTATTCCCAGCTTAGCACAATGCCTGGGACATAGCAAATGCTGAGCAGAGACTTATAAACTACCAGCCACATCCCACTGTCAAGATGTGCATCATTCTCATATATGAACCTAAGTGCTATCCTCCAACTCCAAGAAGGGAGCTTCAAGACTGCAGACCCCAACCCCCAAAAAACCAGATTTCTTGTACCCAATTGGGAAAGCCCAGTGAGCTAACTGGGGTGACTATCCATTGGTTGACATGTTTGTGCCAGTGCTGAAAATGATCACTCCCTCCTCAAATTTTCCTGGGGTCCTTTGTCTGAGTCTCTCCTTGATCTTTGTTACATGTATATTTGTGTCGTACCGCCATCATCTTATAATTTGAAGTTCTTTGAGGGTGATAGGTATCTGTGACACTTCATCTTTGTATCCCTGGTGCCAAGCTTAGGCCCTTGCACACAGTAGGTAATTAATAAGTGCTTTTTAATTAAATGGAATGACCAATTACTGCTTCAGTTTCTTCTCTCTAGCAATGCTATGTCAGCGTCCAGTGGGGTTTAAGTCAAAGGAAAGAATACATAAGGCCCCCTCTTAGGATACTATCCCTTCAGTTATTCTCAGTGAAAAGTGTAAAGATGATAGTAATCAAGCAAATATAGTGTAAAGTTTGTGTCTGTGTACTCTTGGGTATCCTCTGCTCTCTTCTGGGCCCAAACCCCCAGAAGAATAGCAATGGAGCAAAAACAGTTAACAGTGACTGAGGCCTTGTGTGAGGTCTTGTGCTGGGGTTACACCAGGGAAGCATAGAAGGCCAACTTGACATTGCATAAAGAAACTATAATCTTCTCTGTATGTAAGGAGAGTGTGATGTATTTAAGCGTATATGACACATATGGGAGAAGATAACAAATAAGGGAATAGGTGATTATGCAAATGAGCAGTACATTTCATCCTTACAGCTGAAGTTAAGAAAAGATAGCCACTATCCATACCCTCAGGTAATTCATGAAGACTATCCGAGATGAGACTTGGGCTAGGTTTAAGGGACATAGTAGGACTTAGATCAGAAGAGAGAGAAGGAAGTAAGGAATTACAGGTTGCAGAAATGTGAGCAAAGGCAATGGAAGATAGCAAGAAGAAAAAGAATTAACGTTCTAAGGTTGTGCAAAGAGCTTTACAAAGACATAATCTCAGCAGATCCTCACCACAACCCTATGAAGTAGGTACCATTAAATCCCTATTTTACAGGGAAGGAAACTGAGGCTGAAAGAAGTGAAATGATTTGTCTCCACAGTCACAGCTAGTGTTTTTAATCAGAATTCAAACTGGAGTCTTCCTGATACCAAGATGGGAGCACTCTACCTACTAGGCCATACTGCCTCTATAGCAATACTACATTAAAGGAATTGACATGTGGAGGTTTGGTACCAGTGAATAGAATAGCTGACCAAGAGAGTTCACTCTGGAGAGCTCATGCTGGGAGAGAAGGTTTGAAATACTGGATGGGTCATGTAGAACACCTTGACTATCACGCTAAGTAATTTGTTCAATAAGTAATGGAGAGTGATAATGCGTGGTAATGTTAATCCAGAAGAAGCAGCAGCCTGGAATTAATCACTATGTTCTTGTTCAAGAGTTAGAGAAAATGGAAAGGATGTGTCAGCCATATGCAGGCCCTTCACTGGATCCCTCTTCTAAGGTATCAATGAAACTGAGTGTCTGATAGTTAAGTAATGTTTTCCCCAGAAGACAATCGCAGGCAATAAACTAATAAACCACTTTTAAAAACAATGAAAACCCATCAGTGAGGGAATGGAGTGTATGAATATGATGGAATAGTATTGTGCCATGAGAAATTATACAAGGGATACTTGGGGAGAAATCTAGGAAGACTTGAGCAGAATTTTAAAAAAGCAAACTACACCATCACCACACTTGCAAGATTTAAGTGCTAAAGAATGTAAAATCCAACACCAATTCCAAACTGATAAAGCACGCTGTTCACCTCTTGACAGAGAGGTGATAGCCTCCAGATGCAGAATGGGATATACATTTTTTAGACATGACCCAGTGTGGGGATTTGTTTTACTTGACTCTACATATTTATTCCTTTTTTTTCTTTTTTCATTCAGAGTCATAGACATTTGGCAAATGTGTGGTATTGATAACAATAATGATGATACACTTCATACTTGTAGCTTTCTGGAGATAAGACCCTTATTTTGAGCGACTACAGTGAGTCTAATGGTGAGAAATATCAGATAGGAGGGGAAGGTGGGACCATGTCAGGCCAGCCAGGGAAATATTTGGCAGGTAAGTGAAGCCTGTGTCACCCCATACTTACATCCACATACATACTTAAGGCTTTTGCTGGCTCCAGCTAACCCATTTCTTAAGGGGTCCTAAAGCTCAAATTTTCCAAACTTTGATACCCCTTCTCCATCACTCCCAGGAAGGAACAAGGCTATGTGCAGAAGCGTTGGAAGGATGTTCAAGTGGGAGACTTTGTCCAACTTCAGTGCAATGAGATCATCCCAGCAGATATCCTCTTACTCTTCTCTTCGGATCCCAGTGGAGTCTGCCACCTGGAAACTGCCAACTTGGATGGGGAAACCAACCTCAAACAAAGGCGTGTTGTGAAGGGCTTCTTGAACCAGGTAGGGCTCTTTCTGTGGTCCTCAGTATTGGTATGAAAGGAAGAAAACACTCAATTCCCTGGGAAAGTATATTGAATCATTAGAAAGAATTTTGATGGTATGGTTAATTTGTTAGTAAAAGCTCCTTGCATCCCTTATCCAAATCATATCCATCATAAAAGACCCAACCTTAACCTCACCTCCCTCATGAAGACTTCCCTGACAAAAGCAGACTCTGGGAGTCTGTCTTTCACTCCTGTAACTCCTATAGCACTTACTTCCTGTACCACTGAAGTTCATCTACTGCCTTTTATTACTGTTTATATTTTCATGCAGAGCTGAGGTGGCTTTTAGTTTCCATGCCTGGAAGTCAATCATTTCTTTCTTCCTGTACTGGTCACAGCAATTTAAGTCTTGTTTTCCTCTCCAAGGAGAGAACTCTCGGTTCTCTCCTTGATTCTCCCTAACTCACTAAATTGCTCCTATATTTGCTGAGAGCTAGGGCAAGAGCTCAGCTATGTTCACAAAATCATCTCCAAAAACAGAAGAAGAGGATCTCAGAGTTATAGCTAGAAATTCTCATACCTGGAGCAAATTCAGTAGATGACAAGGGTACAGGAGGAAGAATGAGAAAAAAAAACTGTCCTATGTCCTATGCCAGCTACCTAGGCAAAAAAAAAAAACATCTGTCATTAAAGTAACATCTAATTCTTCCTTCTGTACAGCAGGTCTGTAGTATATTCCTATGATAGCATTGCTACTGGTTCTCCTTTTCTCTTCAACCCAATTTTTTTCACCATGTTAGTTAACTCAGGTTCCCAGATTTATTCAAAGGAATATGTCTTTGATAAACAGTGCTACTCCACCACCTAATTTTTTTCCATTCTATTCTTTTTCAATAAGGTATCACTTTCAGAACCATAATCCAGTTATGAGTCACATACACTTAAGTTTCAGTGATATTTGTTATGTCAGACTTAAATCTTTTCATTAATGTTTATTTCACTCTATTATTCATATTTTATGCATTTTTACAGATATCTAAGGCCAAGTGTTTTATCGCTGGACCTTTTCTTGGCTATTATCTCCTGTGAATTATTGGTGCTCTCTTTCTCTGTCTCTCTGTCTCTCTCCTCTCTTCTCTTCTCTTCTCTTCTCTTCTCTTCTCTTCCCTTCCCTTCCCTTCCCTTCCCTTCTCTTCTCTTCCCTTCCCTTCCCTTCCCTTCCCTTCCCTTCCCTTCCCTTCTCTTCTCTTCTCTTCTCTTCTCTTCTCTTCTCTTCTCTTCTCTTCTCTTCTCTTCTCTTCTCTTCTCTTCTCTTCTCTTCTCTTCTCTTCTCTTCTCTTCTCTTCTTTCTCTCTCTCTCTCTCTCTCTCTCTCTCTCTCTCTCTCTCTCTCTCTCTCTCTCTCTCCTCTGTCTCTTTTCTTTTTGCAGTTTTATACCTGTTACTCCCTATGGTATTGGCCTAGACAGAAATCTAAGAGTAAGCAGTTTTCCTTTTTCCTTTCCCTTTTTGGTTTAAAGCTACCTTAATCAGATTTGCAAAACTTTTTTTTTAAGTTCACTTTGTCTTTATTAAGAATCCATCATTCCTATATGGCTGAGTAAGTAACAGGATATCAAACTAGACAATGAGTCGTCTCAGTTTACTGCCCCCAGTTAGTCAGTGAGTGAGTGTATTTTTATGCCTAAGCAGGAATGGCCAGCCCCATGCTCTGTTTTCTTCTGAAGTTCCTCCACTTAGAGAATTTCCCTCATTAATCCCTTCACTCGTCTCCATTGCTGTTAGGTCACATCCAACTCTTTATGACCCATGGACCATACTATCCACAGTGGGGTTTTCTTGGCAAAGATACTAGAGTGGTTTGCCACTTCCTTCTCCAGCGGATTAAGACAGAGATTAAGTGACTTGCCCCAGGTCATACAGCTATTAAGTGTCTGAGACCACATTTGAACTCAGATCTTCCTGACCCCAGGCTCAGAGCTCTATCCACTGAGCTACCTAGGTGGAAATCTCCATAGTAGTGGTCTAACAGACATAGTTTCAGAAGAACGTACTGAGTACTTTCAATTCTCATCCTCTCCTTTTACTTGAATACTTATTGTCCCCATCTAAATGGTACAGAAAGGTTCTAAATCTGGCTTTTGATGTATCTAAAGTTTACCTTGACAACTTGACAAAATTCATGTGTTTTCATCTTTTCCAATATATTTTCAGCATGTAAGTGGCAGGTGACATGAAGGACAAAAGAAATATCAGTCATCTCCTGAAGAAAATAGATTTTGCTGATATTAGCTTGGCACCATCCTAATAGACTAAGAAGAATTTGATGGGTAGATAGACTTCAGTCTTAGGATCCAGTCTAATTCTGTACCTAGTATTGAAAAGGCATGGTATAGAAGGAAAGCACTGACCTTGGGCAAGTAACTTCAGAGTAGGTCTCCATTCTATGATTCTCTAATTTCCTCATCTATAAAATTAAAAAAAAATTAGAATAGGAGACTTCTTAAGTCACTTCCAAGTCTGAAATTTTACAATTCTATAATGATCACATTTAAGTTAGATAACTACATTAATGGTATATCCTAATCCCATTCAACACAAACCACCCTGAGGCTTAGGAATACAACCTCTGAGTTTCCGGATACTAATAAAATTATTGTAAAATCAAATGCAACTGAGTATCTAAGGCTAGCCAGTCAAATTGCAAAGTCAATGAATTTTGTCTTCAAGCTCTCCTACTTCTCTTTCTGTACACCTTTCCTACCTTTTGATATCCTGTGCCTATCCTCACCATTTTACTCAGAACTGGCACCATAGACAAGAAAATGTTCTTTATCAGAAGAGCAAGTATGGCAGCCTTTGTCTTTGCTAAGAGACTGAAAGTCTCTCCTTTAAACAGACTGCTAAGTTGAGAGCACTCAGAGTTTAAATCTACAAATGAACAGCCTGAGAGGACAACATAACCAAAGAAGCTGATTTAGTTTTTATAATTATAATTTCCAATGAAGCATGTTCCTGGACATCCATCATCCATCCTACGGGAATTCAGGGCTCATTTGTTGTAGATGGCTTCAAATCACTGCCAGGACTTCAAGGAATATAATCTGTTAATCTAATAATTTTATTCATCTATTTATTGCCCAGTTTAAAGATTATTTTTTCTTTTAGCTAGATTTTCATTTAATTGATTCCCATTTCTCCCATAGTTAGCTCTTTGGAGGACATTTCACCTAATTAGGCAGTTGGAGTTTTGGCTGGGATTCTCTCAACAGAAAGTCTAGTGGCTTTCTAACTACTGAGAAAGCTGATTGCCTTTTCAGATAGAGACTCAATAGTGTAATGCAAAGCATGCAAGAATCAGCAGGAAATCTGGGGTCCTTTATTGGCACTGACATAAACTTAGCCATGTGACCTTAGCCAAGTCATTTCACCAGGCCTTAATTTCTTCATTGATAAAATGGGAGGGGATAGAATGAACAGAACAATATATGTACATGACTGTAATAATGTGAATGGAAACAGCACAAAAATGTTACCAAACTCAGAATATTTGTAATGACTAGTCTTGGTAGAGAGGCTAAGGACTACAGGAACAGAATGATGACACATACAGTGTAAAACATGGTTACTTTGTCTATTGGGTTTAGCTCAAGTTTTTAAGTGAAGAATTAATTAGGGACAGTATTTTGAGAAATTATTCTGATGTTAAAATCTATATAAATTATTAATTTTCAAAATCACTAAATAAAATGAAGGGATGATATACTAAATGATTTCTGAGTTTACATCCAGTTGTCAATTTTATTTTAATCTGTGAGAATCTTTCATTAAAAATCAGTTTCTTCTTTGTGAACAAACATTAAATAAAAACAAGCCCGTGACTCTCTAGCATTACAGGTCAAAAAAACTCAAGGGAATTACTTTGGGGGGGGGGGAAGTAATAGGCATTAAGTGACTTGCCCAGGGTCACAGAGCTAGTAAGTGTCACATGCCTGAGGCCAGATTTGAACTCTGGCCAGGTCCTCCTGACACCAGGCCGGTGCTCTAACACTGTAACACCTAACTGCCCCAAGGAAATTACTTCTAATGGTGCTCTGTTTTTCCTGGGTCAATATCCATATGAAATATGCCATGCAGTCTAACCTGAATTTCTCCTAGTGCTAACTATGCCAAGAAAACTGACTTTTGGATTGTGGAGCTACCTGGATTGCAATCATGGTGCCTAAATTTCTATGGGTCTGGCCTTGCCAACTCAAACCTACCAAGAGCTAGAAGGGACTTCAGAGAGCAGCTAATCCAACCCCTTCAGTTTACAGATAAGGAAACTGAGGCTATTAAGTGATGGTCAACTCAACAATGAGTTTTCAAGGTTTGAATCCTGGATGGTAAGCATATTTAGAATATTACTGATGCCCATTTACTTACAACCAAGTCACATGGCTAAGTTAGTGGCAGTGCCAATAAAAAACCTCAGATTTCCTGATTCTGATTTTTACGTGCTGTGCATTGTGTTATTGAATCTCCCTCTGAAAGGGGAATCCATTTTCTCAATATGTTAGAAAGGCATGTACACTTTCTGTTGGAAGAATCCCAGCCAAAACTCTAACTGCCTAAGACATAAAGGGAAATCTTACTTTTTACCCACTTTCCCTTCATCCTAATCACCTGTCCTTGAGCTAATCACATAGATAGGTGTGAATCAAGGCAATTTATAGAACACTCTTGATAAAAACTTCCCCAATTAGAACCAGACAGTGCTTTGCCCCTCTGCCCAGTTCTTATCTTGAAAGCCATTCCAACTCATTCCAACTCTGACGGTTATAAAGTGCAGGCAGTTTTTCAGATAAGATTCTTACAGGCCAGGTAAGTTATTTAGGTGTATTTCTTGCCTAAGAAAAAGAAGAATATATTAATGTTGGGAGGAAAAACTCGGTCACTTAGAAGATCACCAGCAAAGATTTGACAACCTGATAAGGTCCTGTTTTCCAGAGGCCCTGGCTCCCTGCATCCTTTGGGC